ATCCCAGGACCCCGGGATCATGACCTGAGCCGAAGGCAGACGCTTAGCGACTGAGCCATCCAGGCGCCCCTGGTTACTCTGTATTTGGAATGATTATACTTACAGCTCCATGACAAGAAATAAGCAAAATCATTTCATAAGAAATCAGTTTATAGTGATTTACAGCACAGCATTTAAATTTCATTCATCAGTTATCAGCTTTTGATTGTCTCTATGCCCAGCAGTGTTAGGTGCAATTGTTTATACAAAAGAAATGTGCCAGGGCAACAAACCTTAGTTTGGGATATGAGATTAACAGCAACAATATAAAATACTGTTGTTTAGTGCAGACGGTGTATGGTGAACTGAACTAGGCTGAACGGTAATGCTTCTGCAAAGAACCAGCTACTAAAGGATGGATGTAGGGCACTGAATAGAAGCGTGAATGAGGAATTTTAGTGAGGAAACAGTGTGTCAAAGACTTGAAAGTAAGAATGAAATTATTTTTCTAGGGAGCAGTGGACCTGATCTATTTGGGAAGTTCCTTTTGAGAAACAGGAGATTATGTGAGCAAGACTGAGAATAAGTATAATTGTATAAGACACACATGGGAAAGAAGTTTAGGCTTGACGTATATACACAGATGATTTTGGAAGTTTAAAACTTTTAAATCAGTGGCTCTCAACTGGGGACAGTTTTTGTCCCTCGGGACATTTGGCAGTGTCATGACTAGAATTGGGGGAGGTGCTGCTAGCATCTACTGGATAGAGGCCAGGAATGCTGCTGCTAAACATCTTGCAATAAGACAGCCCCTCCATGAGAAATAATTACCCCAAATGTCGGTGGTATTGAGGGTGAGAAACCCTGTTGTGAGCTGATTGTTTATATGGCCAGCCTCTGCTTCCATGTGCTTTATATAAGTATGAATGATGAATGTTAGGAGCATGAGTACAAGTAATATTAAAGCTAGGGGAAGCTGGCTCAGAGACCTAAAGAAGGAGGCTGTTGTTGGAGTCCAGGGAGGAGGGGAGGCTGTAAGGAAATAGGATGAGGGCAGTGAGAATGACATGTAGCGGTAAAATGAGACAATTATTTAAATGACATTTTTTTCTGAGTTTGAAAATAATGACTCTTCACTGAAAATAATGCATGTTCATTGTAAGAAATTTTGGAAATGTAGAGAGTGTGAAAAAAAATTAAAAGCACTTAGAACCTCCCACTGCCCCCCCCCACAGCAAAAAGAACAACTGTTAACATTTTCATGTGGTGTTTTTTTTAAAGATTTTATTTATTTGTCAGAGAGAAAGTGCACAAGCAGGGGGAGGGCAGGCAGAGGGAGAAGCGGGCTCCCCACTGAGCAGGGAGCCTGTTGTGGGACTCGATCCCAGGACCCTGGGATCATGACCTGAGCCAAAGGCAGACGCTTAACTGACTGAGCCACCCAGGCGTCCCTTTTTCAAAAATTTTTTATGCTGATGATTATTTTCCTCTCTATAAAACTAGGATTATACATTTTTCTCCCTGTGGGTTTTTATTGTTCTGCCTTTTTTTTTTTTTGACTCAGCATGTCATGAGTATTTGCCATTGCTTGAAAAATGCTCTTTTTAATAGTCACAGTCTTTGTTGTGTGTGTGTTCTTTTGAAATTGGGAATTTTGCTTATATTCAAAAGAGACATTTTGAAGGAAGAAATATGGTGACTGGTTAACTATAGAAAATAATAGGGGCAAAAGTCTATGGAATCTTCAAGGTTTTAAACCTTAGAAGCTAAAAGAATGGCAGAGCTACTGAAATAAATTGGAAGTCTCATAATAATTTTTTTTTTTAGATTTTTTATTTATTTATTTGAGAGAGAGAGAATGAGAGATAGAAAGCACGAGAGGGAAGAGGGTCAGAGGGAGAAGCAGACTCCCTGCTGAGCATGAAGCCCGATGTGGGACTCGATCCCGAGACTCCAGGATCATGACCTGAGCCGAAGGCAGTCGCTCAACCAACTGAGCCACCCAGGCGCCCCAATAATTTTTTTTTTTTAAGATTTTATTTATTTGAGAGAGAGAGAATGAGAGATAGAAAGCACGAGAGGGAAGAGGGTCAGAGGGAGAAGCAGACTCCCCGCTGAGCAGGGAGCCCGATGCGGGGCTCGATCCCGGGACTCCAGGATCATGACCTGAGCCGAAGGCAGTCGCTCAACCAACTGAGCCACCCAGGCGCCCATCTCATAATACTTTTTTTGAGGGGGGTTTCTCATAATAATTTTCACCTTAGATATAGAAACTGCCATCACAGACACCCATAATGAGATTTTAATGAGGACCCTTGCTGCTTGTCAGTTTACATCCTTCCTAAAACTTTTTTCTTCGTAAAACTCTTAAAATTAATCTTTCTTTGTTTTGTTTGTTTTGTTTTTTTAGTACAAAGCTTATTTTTCAATTCTTAGCAAGTCTTTTCCCTCTTCTTGAAAAGTTTTTTAAAATGCAGTTTCTGTTAGAATACTAAGTAAGTCTCAGGTTGGTTCATGAATCTTTGAGAGATTAAAGGACGAGTTTGGGTTTTTCAAATGTATAGATTGGTACAGTTTATAAGCAAAAGATGAGTATACTGTTTTGTGGAGGAAGAGGCATTATCCTTAAAAATGCTTGCCTAGTGCCTCATAACATCACCCCCCATCAATATTACATTACTATTTTATCAATCATTATACCCATGACCCATATCAGTTAATTTGGTGCTTTCTGGTAAATGCTTTTAGGAAAGTAACTAAAAAAAAAAAACCTTAAACTTAATACAAATGGTACCTTTACTGGGAACATACAACTTGGATAAGGTACAGTTTGACGTTGCTAGATTCAAATGCTGTGTTTACTACTTCGTGCTCATGTCCAAGTATCTCCTCTATGCATTAACTTTGGAGAAGTTTTGTATTTACTGTCTTTGTTTTGGGGACATGATGAGGGTAGAGATGGGAGAAAGAGTCTTGTGAAAGGTACCCCCAGTTTGCTTCCCCTATAACCACCTCTCCAGTTTACACACTGCCTGAAATTCTTTTTGCCTTGAACAGTCATCCAGGAACGTATTACCTATGTATGAATCATGAATGCCCATTCTAGCATCTCTTCTTCTCGCTAATGTAATCTTAAAACAGGCAGCTTGGTGTTATATGGAAAAGGCACTAACACTGGAAGTCACAGTTCTAGGCTTTGCTCTCCTACTGGTGACTGAGTGTTCTTGGGCAGATCCCTTAATCTAATTTGTAAATTGAAATTACCTCCGAGGTGCTTCCCAGTTCTAAGAGTCTGTGAATCTGTGAAGTATTTACTTTTCAAGGGTAATTATCTCTGGTGAGACTATTAGTCTTTCACATCTTAGTGCGCATTAATCAGGTATCTGCCACAGGCATTTGTAAAAGCTACTCCCATATAATAGGATTGGGGGAGAAATTTTAGAATGGAATT